TATTCATAAGTTATATAAAAGCGATAGAGAGAGAGCAGGCCACCTACCTGACCAGCTTGTGTGAATAAGTGGCAGAATGTAAGGGCTACAAGAGGTAGGAAGTTGTGGAGAGCTATGATCGGCCACATCCTGAAGAATATTCCCCCACCCATTGTTGCTGAGAATATTATGGATAGAACATGTGAGCAATGAGGAGGCGCTAAAGAAAATGGAAACTAGAAAGACACTGATATTTTTTTTCTGTTTTTTTTTTTTTTATTTACAATAATGTTCACCCTATACAAGGCCCAAGAGTCACTTCAGGTAGAGGGTTACAGAGTAAGAGGCACTGTTTATGCATATATATGGGGAAGATAATTGTTAATCCTAGACTCGTTTAGTTTAAGATTGTAGTGATCAGGGAAGCATCCATAAAAGCAAAGGCGTTTGAAATATTTGGTACACATTATGATTGGTACCATAGTAAGTTTTATCATCAAAATATTTATTATTATTATTAAGAGGGAAGGACTAAAGTAATTTTCATCATTTTATTAATATTTTTAATTCTTTCTCTGTTTGAAATTTTGGTTAAAAATCTTGTTTTTCTTGTGTCAGCAGTGAGCCAATGATTACTATGGGGATTTTAGTGTCTTTTTTGTAATAAAAACACATTGTTTTGGAAACTCTTGCAAAAATCAAATAATTATCAGGTTTTAATTAAATTTTTTTTTTAAATTCACAAATGAATGAAATTATTTTTGGAAATTTTATTTTTTTAGAAAATCTTGGTAAAAAAATTTTTTTTTTTTTACATCTGTTACCCCCACTTACTTAATTTTTATGAAATTTCAAGAAATTAAAATTTCAGCCTTTTCATATCAGTTAAAAGCTGGACTAATTGGAGAATCTAAATCATCAATTTGTTTTTGTGAAACACAAACACCATTTAATGAAAATCTGCTCTGAATTGTAAAATAAAAAATGCAATAAAACCATGACATTATTTAATTAGAAAAGCTTTTAATTGCTTTTATAAATAATATATTAAGAGCATTATCGTTCTAAGAAAAAAACTTTTTCAAATGAATAATAAAACTTTCCAAGAATTTTCATTTTTTAAAAATTTTAATTAGAAAAATTTATTATTACGTTTTAAATCTTTTTAAATTCTGTATTAATTTCAGGCCTTTTAGATTATATCACATTATGAGTAAAGATGGCTTGGAAAATTTAATACTTACAGGACATATTGAGATAAGTGGGGAGGGTAACAGTGCACCTAATTTGTCCTCGTAACATTTAAAAACCCAATATTCTGATTTTCAGAGTTAAAATTTTTATTGAAGCTTAAATTTCTATTGATGATATCTGTTGCTGCCCTGTATTCACCCAACATATCATTTGCACTATAAATGGTATCCATTGCAAATGAAAATAGAAAAGAATGTTTTTCTTTAAAAGAATGGTCAATATTTTTTTTCACAAAGTCATTCTTTTTGCTCCAGTTGTTCACAGTTTTGTGCCTCTTTTTTTTACCGCATGTATAAAACAAACTCATTTCTTAATATCAAATTTTGCCATGTCAGTCTCAATTTCATTACACTGTTTTCTTTATCATCTTCTCATAACATTCTTTTGATTTCAAAACTTTTTAGAGCTACCTTGGATTTCCGAAATATCAAAGACGTATATATATATATATATTTTTTTTTTGAGTGATAATTGTGGTAAATGACTTGAATCCTGATAAATGTCGCTTTAAGACTGAAGCTATTGAATAAATAGTCTATGATTATCTCCCTTGTGGTTTGAAAACAAGTGGCAGAAATTTTGGCTTTTATCATTTATTGATTTCCTCAAGTCAATTCTGTTTATAATGATATTATGGGGATATGATAAGGGGTATTTTATATGGATAGAAGGGGAAGATAACAGTTGACTCTAAACTTGAGTAGGTTAAGATTGTAGTGATTGGGGAAACATTCTCTTGGGAGTCTGTTTTACTTCTCACTGATGAGTTATGGAGGAATCTGGGTGGTTATATATATATATATATATATATATATATATATATATATATATATATATATATAATGTCATCCCATAAGTCCTGTCGAATTTTGAATAAAAAAACAAGTGACCAAATGTTACATTTAATTACAGATTCAATCAACAATGTATTTTCCCTGATTATCTATGACTTCCTTCCATTTATTAACAAGCTTACTAATTCCATTACTGTAAAATTCTTTTGGCTTTGATTCGAAGAACTCACAAATGTCAGTTTTAACCTCTTCCTGTGTTACAAAAGCTGTTTCTTCCAAATAATTCTGTAAGCTACAAAACAAATGGTAATCTGAAGGAGCAAGATCGGGAGAATAAGGTGGATAAAGAATTTTCTCCCAACCAAATTCTTCGATTTTTGTGACGTGATACTTGCTGTGTGGGGTCACGCATTGTCCTGATGAAACATCACCTCTTTTCGATTCACTAGAGCAGGTCTTTTTTTCCTCAACGCTTGGTTCAAATGCTTTAATTGCTGACAGTATATTTGAGCATTAATTGTTGCATTAGGTGGTAAGAATTCAAAGTGGATTATTCCTTGGCAATCCCACCAGATTGAAAGAAGAACCTCTTGCCCATGAAGTTCCCTTCTCAGCTGTGGCTGGGGTCCTTCCCCTTTACCAAGCCACTGTCTACAGCGCTTAACATTTCGATAAAAGATCCATTTTTCGTCGCCAGTCACAAGTCTATCCAAAAAAGGTGAAACAAGTTGGCGAGAATGGAGAGAAGAGCAGATGTCAACTCTGGATTTGAGGTTGTTTTTAGACAATTCATGAGGCACCCATTTTCCAAGTTTAGGAACTTTTCCAAGTTGTTGAAGATGATGATGAACAGTTGTATGGTTTGAACTGAGAACCACTGCCAATTCCTCATCTGATAAAGCAGGATTTTCTTCAAGGGCTGCTTCAAGAAGCTTTTCATCATACTCAACTGGACGTCCGGTTCGATCTTCATCTTCAAGGGTGAAATCTCCACCTCTGAATTTTGCAAACCATCTTCTGCAAGTTCTTTCATTCACACATTCCTTTCCATAAACTGAGTGAATGTTTCTAGCTGCTTTGGCTGCTGAGTTTCCTTTCTTGAACTAATAAAGCATTATGCGACTGAAATGATTCTTGGGTACTTCCATGTTAGCAGGGTTTTAATCAAACAAAATTTAATTTTATTGTTCTCTGAAATAAAATTTGATCAGTTTAAATGCATCTAAACATAAAAATAATGTTCAGCTCCATTAGACATTATAAAATACTCTTTAAATTTCGTTCATTTTAACAAAAAGTTAAAATTCGGACAGAACTTATGGGATATATTACTTATATTACTTTAAGCATTATTTATAGTGGATACCCATATTTAAGTAAACTCTCTGTTTATTTTTTAAACAGTATATTATTTTATTTTACTTGACTGAATATTCAAAAAAAATCTTATTAAAGAAAAAAAATGGACTCTCCAATGTGATACAAACCTGTGTCCCCCTTTGCAGGACAATCTGTCATTAGAGATACTTTTAACCAGCTTGGTCAAGAAGAGTGACATTGATTAAGCAAAGTGGGGCCCAGGTTCAAATACTGCGGAAAGGCACATTTTTTCTTTAATAAGATTCCGATAATATTCCTGGGCTTTCCTTAAGTTTTGGAAAATACACGTTTAGTCTGTTTTATATTTATTTCCTGTTTAAATAGTTAATTTATTCTTTAAATGCTTAAATGACAAAATATATGTAAGAGAGAGAGATGTGTATTTGTTTGGTGGTGGGATGATTCCTAGTTTTTGTCACTGGCAATGGATATTGCAGCCATTATGCAACTTTTGTTGAAAATAGGGAGTGAACAGAATATCTTGAAATTTACTCATGTTTTTGTTAGTTTTAAAATTATTACATACCAGTGGGAAGATTTGCCATGGTATTGAATTCTCTATTTGCCAAGGTATTGAATTGCCAATGTATTAAATTGTCTATTTGCCATGGTATTGAGTTCTCTATTTGTCATGGTATTGGATTTGCCACTGTATTGAATTCCTTCTTTGTCATGGTATTGAATTTGCCATTGTATTGAATTCTCTATTTTCCATGGTATTGTGTTCTCTATTTGTCATGGTATTGAATTTGCCACTATTGAATTTCCTATTTGTCATGGTATTGAATTTGCTATTGTATTGAATTCTCTATTTGCCATGGGATTTAATCTACTATATCCTTGAATTCTTTATTTGCTATGTCATTGAATTCTCTATACCACAGAAATTGTATTCATGCCTTTTCAAAAGCCATTTGTGCAAAGAAAAGAGAACATAGCAATTACTTCTTTACTCTTTTTCCCCAAATTATTTAAACAATGCCAATTCACATTCATCATAATTTAATTGTTCCACTCAATGTTAGAACAATGATACACTTTGCAATCTACTTGTAGTATCATTTTTTTTATTTCCTTTTGTTTATTACTTGCCCGCCTGTAAATTTATCTCCCCACTCCCCATATTTATCTATATACTTATGTAGTTAAGGACTTACTTGACAGGTTGTTGCTTTCTTTTTTCTTTTATTTTGTTTTTCATTACTATCTTCTTGCTATTTAATTGTGTCACCTTGAATTATTTCATCTTACTCCTGTGTTATTTGCTTTAGGAACAAAAACGGCCTTATCATCTGGAGACACTGGTTCTTGTATGATCATTGAAGTTAAGCAATGTCAAGTCTGGTTAGTACCTGGATGGGTGACTGCTTGAAAATAGCAGCTGCTGTAAGCTTAGCTGTCTTGCTCTTCTTTTTTTTTAGCTATGGGTTAACTAACAGGGCAGACTGAACTCTCCAGCCATGGTTGGCGACCAGTCTCATAGAAAGAAAGATTCCAGAGTTTACAATTAATTGTGGGCACAGAGTTGTGAACTTAGGGCCCTATCACACTGAAACACCAGTTCTCATACAGTCACCCGAGTTGCTTAACTTGGATGGAACACCAGTTCTCCTATGATCTCTGCAGTTAAGCAACATTGAGCCTGGTCAGTAGATGGGTGATTGCTTGGAAATAGCAGGTACTGTAAGCTTAGATGTAATGAATAACAGCTTGAAATTGGAGTTTGAGTTCTAATTCCAATCAGGTTCGTTATATTCATTTACGTGCAAATATCCTTGGGAAAGGCATGAATCAACATCTTCCCTGCCCAGCTATCACTTAACCTTTATCATGCTAATTTCTTTTTAGAATTGTTCCCTTCTGCCACTGCATTTTTTTTTTTTGAGGGTGTAAAAACAAGAACACCTACTGTTTTAAAATTGTTATAACTTTTTTGCATTGTGCATATAGATTTTAATTTTTGTACACTAATAAAATAATGAATGAGTAATATTTTGCTGTAATGAATTACATTGTGCATGCTTGTTTTGATGTTGAAAACAAAAAAAAAATGAAACAAGAAATAAAAAAAAACTAAATAAAAAAACAAATACATTAAAAAGTACATAAATAATTCAATGTACTTTTATTACAGTACTCCTTATGGAGTTCTGGGCGTGCAATAAAATCACTAAGAAGCTTTTCATTTTATCAAAAAAAGTGAGGTGTTTCCTTGTGTTTACATACAAGAAGACACTAGCATTTGTTTGCCCTTTCATCTGACTTGCATTTTGTCTTGTGACTAAAGTTATTATTTTGTCATTTATGAATAGACAAAATAATTCACTTTCAGAAAGGCTATCACATATATCAATGGTCACCAGTAGCTTCTATAAAATTAGTCAGACATGGATGAAAGTAGCTGCTATTGGTCATCATTTCTTTCTTTCATGTCACTAGCGTGGTTATCATCTCCAACCACTTCACTGTCAATATCCACTCCAGTAAAGCCATCAAAATCATTGGAGTCATAATCAAAGAAAAACTCTTGAATAAAAAGCTTTGTTGGATATTGACACAGCCATTCTTGTTTACAAAAAATGGCAAAAAAATTAATGTGGGTTTAATTAATGTTACACCTCACGTAGAGTCTAGAAAAATTAAAAATGGCATTGGAAAATGGGAATTTAGCTTTGTTCCAAAGCAGTAGTAGCAGTGTTTATTTATAACAACTTTCGCAGGTGACAGAAGTCACCGATAGTAACAAGGGAGATAATTCTACGACGACTATTGTTGTCTGTATTGTGGTAAAGGTTAATTAGTAGTAAATCATTATTACCTCCAAAAAATTCTTAAAATCTAAAACTATTTTCTGGCTTTAAATAACCTGCAAAGTGTTGATAAACCATGAAAACCAAATTTCAGAAGAAAAATAAAATACTGTCTAAAGTCTTAGCTCGAGTGTCATACCACTTAGGTTTCACTCTGAATGACTGTGAGTGAAAGAGAAATATAGATAAACTGGGTTGTCTTTTCTCATTATTAAGAAACTTAACAAATTCAACTATTGAAATAAAACTGCTTCATTTCCCTAACATTTGGTCTATAGCTGTATATTTCCTGCATTCAATAGACTGATAAATATCAATTGGGGCAAAATTAAATTACCTAGATTAATGTGTTGATGTTTATATTATACTCCACCAGTTTATATTACAGTTTCCTGCACATACATCTCTCCAATGTTGTCATTAATTTGATGGTGGTTTGGTTAACTTAACAACATCCAATTTTACCTGACGAAAAAAAAAAAATAATAATTGTCTTTTGGCTTACATAACCTTGACATATATGGGAAGGATATTACAATAGTGCAGAACATATCCTAGCAGTAAACCACCTACGTATGGATAGAAAATGAATTCAGTAAATATACAAAAATGGAAAGGGGTGGAAGACAAGATATACAGATGAGACAAGAACTCTAACAAGAAAGTTGTGTAGGAATGTGAGAAGAAAGGACTAAGCACCAATTGAAAAAAGACAGTATGCATGATTGTTAGCAAAAGGAACAGCCAACATGTAAATTACAAATTGGAGATACCAAAATCAAACAAGTACAACAATGTAAATATCTGGGAAGTATCTTAGCAGAGAATGGAATGTGTGACACTGAAAGTCAGAAGGTCAGTCACAGAGACATTGGATCCCTTCATTCGCCATTCTCTCAATTTTTGTGCACGCACATCAGCATGAGCTGTGTATGTGTCTACATGTTCGTTCAGTTCTCTATAATCTAGTACAGGGCGCTTTTTTCCTTGTTCTTTTGTACCACCCATCATCACGGATGAGGCCTCTTGGGGACCAAGCTCTTCCTCGGGATCTGAGTCAGCCATCCATTGTCCAGCCACACCTGCAATTTCGCTGGTTTTTCTTGACGCGTTCGGGGCACCGAATATTCTGACACTCCGTTCTGGAGCTTTTCTGGTGGGTTATTTTCCAAAATGCTGTCTATGTCTTCGTCCTTTGGTCAAACTCTGCGCTAAAGTCGGGTTCGTTGATCTTCAAAGTAGCACAGATGGGTGGATCAGAAAACTTGACTTCGCCCGCCTCTGTGATGCGTACGCTGCCCAGCTCCTTAATAATGTCCATCCCAAGGAGCAGATCGAAACCTAATAATGCGCTGTCCAAGACCAACACACTGACTGTGATGGGGTCACCATTGTTGATACTGAGTTTCCAACTCCCCGGCTTCTGAGAGCCTTTCCATGTCAGCTCCACTGTCGACAAATCGAACCATTCGTGAGTGACCGAGAGCAGCCCGAATCTATTAAAGTGGTATGCGTTATTCCATTGATGCACACCTTAGTCACAGGGAGCACTTCTTTCCTGCTCGATGCGGGGAAGAGACCGGCGCTGACATTGCGCCCTCCCATTCCATTTCCCAGACACTTAGAGGCAATATGACCTACTTTATGACATTGGAAGCACGAGACGTGCCTTTCGCGCTGACTGCTGCACATTTCTTTGCTTTGATAGCGGCAGTCTCTGGCAAAATGATACGGCCCAGAGCACTGATAGTAGGTGACATCGCCATGGCAACGGATGGCTGGGGTCGGACCTTCTTTGACTTCAACTGGTTGAATGACTGCGGCCACTGGTTCATCAGCCTCTTTTTCATCGATCATGATAGCACGGGCTCTGGTCAACAATTGATTGAGCGTCATGTCTTCCATTCTGGATGATGCGTGGAGTATCTGCTTAACATGACTAGGCAATCCAGACAGGAAGGCACATGTCATCCATTCTTCAGGAAGCGGTGCGATTGGAACGGCAAGCTTCTTTAATTCTGCCAAATATACGTCTACTGTCTCGCCAGGTTGCAGACGCCGTGCCTGGAATTGGTCGTAGGCCACGAACCGGTCAGTTCCAAATGCGGTTAGTAGAGTGTGCTTTATTTGCTCAATGTCACTTCTGTTCTTTGCTCAGCTGCCTGTACACAGCAAGGGCACCGCCTTTCAATCGCAGTGGAAGAATCTGTTCAATCTTTGTGATCTCGCATAATTCACAGACCAGTTCCACTTTTTCGATCCATTCAACCACAGATTGTCTACTCGTATCATCACTGAATTCGGGGATTGGTTTTATATTGAACGGTCTTTCTGCCATCTTGCTAGAGACAAAGTAAATGCCGAAATAGCTTGTTCTGATGTGATCTGACCAGCTGTATATCATGTGTCTAAGGGGAGCATCATTTGTTGTGCTCCCCACCACGCCGGGAAGACCCGACTACGACCTAAATGCAAAAATCTTTTATAGCGACTTGTTTCTTTTTCATCACTTTTTCCGTTGTAGAATACATACGACATGCTGTCGCTTGGTTTGACGAGGTAAGTCGCCATTTTCTTCGCTATAAGATTTTTGCTGACTACTTTTTGGTAATTTTTCTTCGGCAGATCGCACACAAAACACAAACTTTTTACGGGGTACCTGATTATCTCTTTCACTACAAAAACTATGTATATAATTTAATTTTATGGTCAAGGTTAGTTTTTGGTTAGGGTTAATGTTGCAGGTGTTGAGAGAAAATGGAACGATTTTTATCCATATTTATAAAATTAAAAGATATTCACTACTAGTGAATATTTTTTGTTGTTCTTCGCCTTCCCTTAAATTATATTCGAAAAAAATTTCATTTTGTCTGAAGAACTATTTGAATGTTAATGAACATTCTCAAAATGTTACAAAGTACCAAAATATTCATTGTTTGCAGGGATACTTGTATCTTATCTCAGAATGTGAACCAGTTATTCCCATTTAACCTCCAGCTTTTTTCTTAATACAGGCTCTTTGCATATTTCATTTGAATATTTTTATACAGTTTATTTGCCTCTCACCTTTGAATATTTTTATACAGTTTATTTGCCTCTCACCTTTGAATATTTTTATACAGGCTCTTTGCCTCTCCCCTTTGAATATTTTTATACAGTTTATTTGCCTCTCCCCTTTGAATATTTTTATACAGGTTCTTTGCCTCTCTCCTTTGAATATTTTTATACAGCTTATTTGCCTCTCCCCTTTGAATATTTTTATACAGGTTCTTTGCCTCTCCCTTTTGAATATTTTTATACAGGTTCTTTGCCTCTAACCTTTGAATATTTTTATGCAGGTTCTTTGCCTCTCCCCTTTGAATATTTTTATACAGGTTCTTTTCCTCTCCTCTTTGAATATTTTTATGCAGGTTCTTTGCCTCTCCCCTTTGAATATTTTTATACAGGCTCTTTGCCTCTCCCCTTTGAATATTTTTTGGATACAGTTTATTTTGAATATTTTTATACAGTTTATTTGCCTCTCACCTTTGAATATTTTTATACAGGCTCTTTGCCTCTCCCCTTTGAATATTTTTATACAGGCTCATTGCCTCTCACCTTTGAATATTTTTATACAGGTTCTTGCATCTCTACTTTGAAATTTTTTTCTGATAGCATATGTTGAAAGATCTTTTTAATATTCAAATTCCTACATCACTCACCCAAATTTCCAATCCCCCACCATTTTCTGTTCAGTTACTCATCGCCCACCTGACAATTGAAATCACCCATCAGTAGGCAATATCACCCATGTTTGGAAACTTTGGTTTATGGTAATAAGAAATAATGATGAATATATCTTCCTCTCAGATATCTTTTTTCCCCATGAACTGCTACTT